ACAGGTGAGAGCAGCACGCACAGGTGAGCACAGGAACAGACAAGTGAGCACAGGTGAGCACAGGTAGGACAGGAAGAGACAGGTGAGAGCAGCACAGACAGGTGAGAACAAGTGAGAATAGATATGGACAGGTGAGCACAGGTACGGACAGGTACAGACAGGTGAACACAGGGGAGAACACAGGTGAGCACAGGTACAGACAGGTGAGCACAGGTGGGAACAGGAACAGACAGGGGAGGACAGGTGAGAACACAGGTGACAACAGGTGAGAGCAGCATGGACAGGTGAGAACAGGTGAGAACACGGGGAGGACAGGTATGGACAGGTGTGCACAGGTGAGAGCAGCACGCACAGGTGAACACAGGGGAGAACACAGGTGAGCACAGGTACAGACAGGTGAGCACAGGTGAGAATAGATATGGACAGGAGAGGACAGGTGAGCACGGGGGAGAACAGGTGAGAACACAGGTGAGCACAGGTACGGGCAGTTGAGAGCAGCACGGACAGGTGAGCACAGGTGTGGACAGGTGAGAACAGGTGAGAACAGAGGGAAGGACAGGTGAGGACACAGGTGAGAACAGGTATGGACAGGTACACACAGGTGAGCACACGTGAGGGGAATGAGAGAACAGGTGAGAGCAGGTACGGACAGGTATGGACAGGTGAGAGCAGCACAGACAGGTGAGCACAGGTATGGACTGGTGAGAACAGGTGAACACAGGTGAGGACACAGGTGAGAGCAGGTGTGCAGAGGTACGAACAGGTGAGAACAGGTGAGACGAATGAGAGGACAGGTGAGAGCAGGAACAGACAAGTGAGAACAGGTGAGCACAGCTGTAGGCAGGTAAGAACAGGTACAGACAGGTGAGAGCAGAGCAGAGGAATGAGAGGACAGGAACGGACAGGTGAGAACAGGTATGGACAGATGGGAACAGGTGAGAACACAGATGAGAACATAGGTGAGAGCAGGTGAGGACAGGTACAGACAGGTATGATCCCCAAGGACCAGTGTGTCCAGGTGTGCACAGGTGTGTCCAGGTGGGTTCAGGTGTGCCCAGGTGTCTCTGCACTCACGTCCAGGTGCGCACGGCCTCGTCCAGGTGTGGTTGGGTGTCCCCAGGTGTCTCCAGGTGTCCATCCAGATGTTCCCAGAGGCATTTGGGTGTTCCCAGGTGCATTCAGGTGTCCATCCAGGTGCACCCAGCTATTCCCAGATGTCCCCCAGATGCACCCAGTTGTTCCCAGGTGTTTTTTGGTGTTCCCAGGTGCTCCCAGGTGTCCCCAGGTGCACCCAGATGTCCATCCAGGTGTGCCCAGGTGTTCCCAGGTACACCCAGGTGTCCCCAGGTGTCCATCCAGGTCCATCCAGGTGTGCCCAGGTGTTTTTTGGTGTTCCCAGGTACACCCAGGTGTCTCCAGGTGTTTTTTGGTGTTCCCAGGTACACCCAGGTGTCCATCCAGGTGTGCCCAGGTGCACCCATGTATGCCCAGGTGTACCCAGGTGTCCATCCAGGTGTACCCAGGTGTCCCCAGGTGCATCCAGGTGTCCCCAGGTATTCCCAGGTACACCCAGGTGTCTCCAAGTGTTTTTTGGTGTTCCCAGGTGTGCCCAGGTGTCCCCAGGTGTCCCCAGGTGTCCCCAGGTGTCCCCAGGTGTCCCCAGGTGTCCCCAGGTGTCCCCAGGGGGGTCTCGTCTCCCCGGACCCTCAGGGCTCGTCGTCCTCAGCCGTCAGCGGCCACTGGTGGAAGCAAAGCTGGGGTCACCTGCGGGGGGTCCCCTCACCTGTCTCCCCAAGCCCCGCCCCCTTCCCCAGGCGCTCACCTGGGTCTCGCCGAGCCCCGCCCCCTCCAGGTGTTCCGGATCTTTCCGGAAGGCGGCGTTGCTGAAGCTGATGCTGTTGGTGCTGCGCCGGCGCCACCCCCGCCACAGCGCCCGCCCCGCGACCCCCAGGCACAGCGCCAGCCCTGGGGGGCGCAAGGGGGCGTCAGGGGGGACCCCCGAAATTTGGGGAGACCCCAAAAAATCCGGGACGCCCCCAAAAATCCGGGAAAGTCCCCAAAATTTGGGATATTCCCCAATAGGATCA